TATTTTCTTCGGAAAAATCTATAAATCTTAATAAAATAGTTGGCAGAGCCACATCAAAAAAAAAAAAAAAAAAAAAAGAATATAATAAAGTAAAGAAAAGAAATTAAATAAATATAAGAAATTAAATATATTACAGAAATGTAAGAAATTACAGATTGCTAAGAAATAAAAGAAATTATAGAAAAAGGTTTGTGATCACAATTTGCTAATTATATTTGGCGTAGTATCGTACGTCATGATTAAACTATCCTAACAACATTTCAAAAATGCTGCTGATAAAATTAATAAGACAGTAAATTTTCTTGATACTTGCCAAACGCTCACGGAAAACTTGATTTTAATAAGGATACATTCTTGAAGCCTGGTATGTTCGTGACTTAACTTTGTAATTAAATAATTTGCCTTTTTTGGTCTTCTAACCAATTATATCAATAATTTTTCTTTCTTACCACTATTTTGTATCTTTAAACTATTAGAGCCAAAAAGTAAGGAAGGCAAGTATATATTAATTTTTTAATATTGTCAATGATAGCAAATATCTCATATTGCCAAGCTGTTTACAGCCCTAAATGAAATCAATTAATTTGAAAATTACATTCAAACACAAAAATCGTTTCTCCGTTAGAAAACTTCAGGAATGACGCTTTAAGAGAGTGTAGTACAATCAAAAATGATTATTTCTATTTGAACGTGGTGTAAAAGTTGATTCAAGTACACATTATACCAAGATAGAATAACCACCCATTTAAAAGTTACCGTTGTCAATGGCTATGATTAGCGCAGCAACTGCGGTGCATATCAAAAATATCAAATATCTCTGCTATGTCAGATGTATTATCTGTTTTATTTATTTGTTATATATTATAATAATATCGGTGTTATTCCCCATTCAATCTCATACAATAATCGAGAATTTCCAAAAGCAGATTAGGCAGAAATTTAAGAATAAATTCGACAATGAAAATTCTTAATTTCTTATATTCTTCGCAAAATCCCGATTATATAATGCTGCATGATTAATTATTTTCAAATTATTTTAAACCTTAGCACATTTATGATTGTATTATCGTGTAATTTTAAGAGTAGAAAATTAATTTAAATTGTGGCAAAGTAAAGCTTTGAGATGAATCTATTATTTTGATAGATTTTGTGGAAAGGCGAAGAAATTTATAAACTAAATGGCTTTAGCAACGAACGATGAACTAATTCTGATTTTAACAGCCATTCTTCAGCATTTTTGGCATGTATTTTCCTTAAAACCATTTTGCGGATGATTCTAAATTGATCATAAAACGAAATGACTGTGTTTCTCTTCAAACTTTTCGAGGTCGAAATTTTTGAAATGATCACATTTTAAATATATTATTTTAATGAACATAAGACTTTATTTTATTCATAAAGAAGAGTTGGAGCAATTGATACAGTAAATTTTACTTTGTTACAAGATCGGAAAAAATAAAATTAAACTTCCGTCGAAATTATTGAAATTAATGATGAATGGATTTAGAAATAACGAGGATACATTAATTATGTCGTTTTTTTTCATAGCATTTTTTATCAGGAAGATACTCACGGATTTATAAAAAAATATTAACAATACGAAAGATTCTGGATCATGAAAGAAGGAAGACTCCGTAACTTAGAACTGGAATTTCCAAGAAAGGAACAACATGAAAAATTTTTAGAATTATAAATGTTTCAAAATTGTGCAGCAAGAAAACAATAGTCATTAGTAATCAATCCTAAAATGGAAAGTAATTTTCTCATTTCAATCATGGAAAGAAATAATTATTTTTTCCTTTTCCCGAGTTACCGAATCGGATTATTATTTAAGGGTCAAAAAAATAAATTGTTGCTAAAAAAACCTAAAAAAAAAAAATAAATATTTATTAAATTTAAAAAATAGGGTTATTATGAAAGAATCAAACGATAAATATACGAGACAATAATGCAGATATTCGCTACCTTTGGTCAGAGATTCATTACAGTGATCAACGTCAAAAATTTACGATGAAATTTATGATTATATCATTGTTGGAGCTGGAACTGATTAGCAAGAGAACTTATATCCAAATGTTAATATTTTGGTATTAGAAGCTGGTCTATTATGGAACCAAATAAATAATCAAATCATTTTGATTACCGATTTATTATAAATAGGCTTACCGAGCACGTATGGTATATTAGGGATATCGAACAGAAGATCAGAAAAATTTCAGCATTATCGAACCTACAAAAGTATTATAAATAAAGGATTTCCTTATCCACGTGGCAGTGTGAGAATGCAGTACTGTAAATACAATGAATTATATGTAAATATTTTTTTTTTTAGATAAAATTTACATTCAAATTTTGAAATATGTTTTGGTGGCTTAAATCAATTATATTTATGAATTTAGGCGAGATGATTACGCTAATTGGGCGGCCCAAAATCCTGAATACAAAATTTGGGATTACGATCAATGTCTTGAAGGTAATTATTCATCTTACATTTGTTAATATTTATGATTGAAACTAATTTATTATAAAAGCTTTCAAAGTCGTCGAAAACTATGCTCGTAAAAACCCGGACGAAGAATTTAAAAAGTATCATGGTTTTAATGGTCTACTTCATTATAAGACAGTCCAAACGATATTAATGAGATTGCAAAAGATTTCGTTAAGGTTGCAAAAAATCTTGGAATTCCTCATAATAACGATTTTAATGGTTCTAGACAAATGGAATAGGAATATTTCAGGTAAGTTAGTAGTATGTGAAATAACTTTTAAATTTTTTTAATTCAACTGTAATATTATATAGACCACAACAAAAATGGAAATTCTGTTCGCTTGCTGACAGATATTTGACAGATGCATTAAAAACTGTTGAAACATACCCTCCATTATTACCATTAAGTCCTTGGCCAGTGACGTTGCAAAATTGTCAAATCTTGCTGCTCACATATTGAATATTATTTGGGATTAAAATAATAAAGTTGAAAATATAGCAATTGGCGTTAAGTGATTCTATGACGGTGGAGTTCATAATTCTTTCATTGCTCAGAAGGTGAAGTGATTATTTCTGGTGGTGCGCTCAGATAAGAATTAAAATTAGAAATTTTCCTGAGTAGATGATCTGTGTGATTAAGTTATACTTTATATACTTATATTTATATATATTATTAATTTGAAAGCAGCTATCAGGAGTCGGTCCGAAAAACAATTTGGAAGCAAATTATATCATTGTTCATAAAAAATTAACAGTTGGGCGTAATATACAGGATCATCCTGTATGTACGGTTACTGAAAAATTTCTATTCCAAATAATGCAAGCACTTATCAATTTAATTCGTGTAATGGGTGAAAAGTTATCACATAAGCTTAAATTTTCATCAAGGAATTCTTCGCGACTGAGAAATTTTCCTTTGAATATTCCTTTATGAAAATTTCCAAGTTTAAAATCTTTTGGAACATTTATATAATTTCATTATTCATAATTTATAGTAGGCATGATCCTATTATTAATGCTTATGTCTCTAAACAAACTTTGAAACGGTTACACTGCTCTCTTTTTAAATTTCACTTCGAGTGCCTGAAACCTAAAATTATGTTGTTCTAATTCATTAATGCAACCAAAAATATTTTCAATTATGAAAAGTCTGATGATTTGTATAGAATGAATCATTTTATCTATACGGTACCGATAAGATGGACAGTATTAGTTGGTTCATTTCTTTAATATAACATAAACTTCGTTAAAAGTAAGAATACGATTCTCTCGATTCCATCTCAGTTCTCTTAATGAAATTTAATAGCTAGACTAGAAGCAGATGATCAATTAAAAAATTTTTTTTATTAGTTATGGTCTATTTGATTTTTGAGTCGACTCTTGAGTCAATTTCAAACTAAGAATTTGCTGAAATAGCATCAGTTTCAGAAATGACGTTAATTTAAAGAACTTAAAAAGAACCCAAGAAGGTTTTTAAAAAAAAGTTAAATTAATATAAACCTTACGCAGAAATCCAAATAGATTAAAAAAAACTAAATTTAAAATTAAAAAACAAACAATATTAAATAGATAAGATTAGTTATAATAATTCGAATAGTTTAGAACTAAGATTGCAGGGAAATTCCATAGATTTTATCAGCACTGTTAGAAACGAGTTTTACCCACGACTGTAATTGGATCAAATTTTAAAGTTAGTTTTATTCGCTGAGTAGAAAGAAAAATTTACTACAATGTGTGTTGTACTAACAAGTAGAGTACAATCATACAATATTATATTTATTATAATGTCAAAAATAATCAATAATTATACAATTATAGTTTATTTATAGCTTAAAATAAAAATATCAGTATGATTAAAAACTATGATCTTATTTGACTGTAGCATATTCTAGTAAAATAAATTTTTAAATTGATTACAGAAACAAGAGACTCTAAATAATTTAAAGACATTTCCATGAGATAATAAAACGACGTCTAGAATACGCTTGAAAAATTAACGCAGTATGTGTAATCATGGGTATTAAACATACCTTTACCATTTAGGTACTACGGCTGCCACGAAAAAATTCCCTCTCGTTGTCGGCGATTTCTCCGTGATCATGGAATTACTATTTTATGCTTAGGATTGTTTCCAAATTAATATTGTAAAGTATAATCTTTGCTATTTACAGAAAAATTATTATATTTCCTATCTTATTATTTGATTCATTTATTATCGCCAAAAATAATATAAAAATTATGCATTTAGATCAACAACAAATTTTGAGTCGCATTTTAAAAACCAGCATTAAAAGTATCCAAATTCACGTGTAGTGTAGTACGAACAAGAATGATAATTCTATTTGCAAGTTTATTTCTATTTTGGATGTATTTACACTTTATACGTTTATTTCAAACAGTCATTAATCTATATGTTATTTAGATCGCTGATGATGTGACGCATTAAGTTTTTCTTGGCATGTTCAATATCTTATAAAATTATTTTAAACGAAACTCTGACCGTTCTCAAGCACGATTTTTATAATTTACCCACTTTTCTGATTGGCTAGGTGATTTATCACCGGCGTGACACCGGTATCGTTTTAATTTTTATTAAGTAACCGAGGGACAGAGAATTGTGATGTTTCTTTGTCACCATGGGACGTG